TGAAAAAAATTAACTGGATTATTTTAGAAAGTTTTAAAAAGTAATTTGCATTTACACTCCAGCAAATGCAGTTTTTATTTGCGATACATAATTTTTATGCTAATTTTAGCACCCGTTGATTGTCATTTCTCTCTCCGTTTCTACTCGTAACTTGTTCAAAAACTTGACTACACATATCCAGCAGCCACACATCATCGCATTTGCATCTCCATCGCCACGTACTCAGCGTCACATCAGTCATCATCATTTCTCACGTTCACCTGTTTTTCACACTCATCTCGGCTGTTCAATCATGGTCTGTTTGTGCGTTCGTTGGTGACGAAGCGCAATCAATATGAATTGAAACGCAAAAACTCACAAACGAACAAACACGTAGCATTTACTTAACCATTTATCTTTGGTAACATTCAAGATGAGTGGCAGTCTCTTTATGTACTGCTTGCCAGAAAATGCCTCCGAGTACAAGTGCATTCATTAAAAATTTACATGCAAATGTCTTTCCTTATAATATTACGTTTATGACATGATACAAATTTCCAATTTATGCACACATGGGTACACACCGCGCAAATGCACACGACACATCATGGTTTTATACGTGCATGTACACAATGATATGTTGTATATCGTGCCAACTCTCTTGCAAATTCTGTCATCCATTCAATTCTCCCCAATAAAAATTTTTCAAACATAATTTTTCAATGTCAGAAAATATTAATGGAGTGGCAAAATGATTGAATAAAATGATTTTGTATGAAAGTAAGCACAACATGTTGTGGCTGATTTTATACAGTACAAATTAAAAAATTATTTTTTTTTTGATGAGCTCGTTAAATGATATTTTTACTTGATGTGTTACAGGCTGTATCACAAGCAAGAATCATTCATATCGCTATTACTCTCAGGCAAATGTTTAGTTTCTTATAAATAAAAGAATACGGATTTAGAATGCGCATGTTTGCTAATTGTTAATGTAAAAAACGGAAATAATTTTATAATATTCAAATTTTTGTCAAAAATTATCTATCTATCTATTAATTATCTAAAAATTATCTAGTTTGCATATATCTATGAGCGTATTTTTTTTTTATCTCCGAATAATTTGAATTTGTGTTATGTTAATTAAATTTTTTCATTTAAGCATTAACTCATTCTGTTTTGGTTAAGTTACAAAAAAATTCACCAAAATATTTGCAAACCATGCATTTTTTAAAAACATTCAACATCATGCAACGTTTAAAATAACTCCACATCTAGTTTAAGGTTTTTCATTTGTTATTTTTGTTTATTATTCTAATATTATTACTTTTTAAATCACTGAAAAATGTTTCCAAAATTTTTTCGTACATACATTTCATTTTTTTATTTCTATTTAAGAACGCCGTCACCGTCATGTCAGTAATCAGCGGGTACATTCTGCGTGCAGCACATAAGCATTTACATTTTTAAATCATGTCACCGTCTGCAACAGTATGTACTATAAGTACATATATAACTTCATGTACTATGAATAACAACATATACAACAGTATATTTTATAAATAGCAGCATACGTAACAAAAGTATATGTTATAATTAACAACTTATGTAACAGAGTCTAAACTACATTGATAACAACAAGTTTAACATGAGACAATTTCAATAAATTAATACAGCGAAAAATTTTGACACTTAGTGACGGATTTTTACAAACAACAGGACTTGGAAATATTTTACCTAATTATACTATAAACTTTTTCTATAAAAATTAAAAACAAAATCGTTCGGAAACAGCAGAATCTTTTTCAACGCATACATATTCTGCGTGCGTGTCGTAACTTTTTACGTTGCCGTTCTTATTAACAGTGTCTTTTAAGATATCGTAAAAGTTACACATGATTTTAAGTCCAATTATTATCATAAATTTATACATACACAAATTTTTATATCAAAGCTGATCTTAAAATAGAAGAAATAAATAGCTAGACAGTAGGAATTTGTGTGAGTGAATGAATGTACAAAAATGTATGGTTTTAGTTATTAGTGTACAGTACACGTAAACCTTTGAAGTTTAAATAATAAGTTCAATTCTTATATTAATAAATGCCCTTAATAAGGCGATAAATACAATAACTTTTTAAATGATTTTACCGCAAATCTGTTGTAGTGTACGATAGTAACGAACTTAAAATGTTACTCATAACAGCCATCCTTCTAAGCAACAAAATTTGAAAAATTAAAACTCTATTGAATTCAGTGCTTAAATAAATCTGGTTTACCTTTTCACGCAGATGATTGGTGGCGAGTGTGGTGGCTACACGTTCGCCGAAGAGTTTCATTATTTATCTTTATTGAATTTTGTTTCATAATATATTAACGGTCTTATCGCTCGTAATACCTGGCTAGAATTTATAAAACTTTTTAAACAAACACACGTACACACAAACATTCACTCTATGCAACACACATGTTCAATTTATGCTTAATTATTAGAACCATTTATGAATATGATGAACTTTTTTTTACAAAATTCAAAACTATCCAACTTATAAAAACAATTGATTATTTCTTACAAACTGTTTTCTTTCGTTTCCTGGTGTATGTTATTACAATGGTCTCATTTTAAGCCAGATTTTATATAATATAATAAATATCATCAACTATTTATTCTCAATTTAAAATATCATTCAATTTAATCCAAATAGCCAAAACCACTGAACAATTAAATAATAATTTGTCTACAACAGTAAAAAGTCCGAAGAGCCATTTGAGCTGATAACATATGGTCCATTTGCTATTTATTATTACTTCATATCTTTCACGAACCTTTAAAAACTTCTCTTGGTGATGAATGCCGGTAACTGTTACAAATCGTTTGGAACAATTTATCAGCGTGTTATTTGCGTTTTTATACGTATTTTGCAAAAAAACAACCAACAAATTTTTTTTCTTAATAAATCATAAAATTTAAAAAATCTTATAAAAATAAAATTATATAACTATTTGAATCATTTTAAAAACTATCTTTCAAGCTGAAAAAAAGTTGAATAAATAACATAGGTATTATATACTCAGTGCAATGAAATTGAATGACAAAATACTTACTACTCGGAAAATTTAAATTATATTTATTTAGTTTTTATTTATTTCAGATCAAAAAATTAAATTGAAATAATGATTCAAATTTAATTGAAATTTTTCTAGATTTGTCTGATTATAAGATTTTTTTCAAATCAATTTCAAAATTAAGATAGTTATTATCAATGAATATTTATATTAATTTTTATTGCTTTTTATTTTAATAAAAATAATTGGGTTATAATCAGCCATGAGTATAATTTTATTGAACCCGTGTTAACTCATATAATATTAGCACCATCCTCACCATAATTTCTGTCTTTAACTTGTGACATTTTCTATTTAAAAAATACATTTTGAAAGAAGGACTCAGCAAAGCAATATAATGCTATTTTAGCATCTTTATGGAGTGTTACTAAAATAACAATAAGAATCCTTCACAAATAATTTTAACAATTTTTAACACTATAGTTTAACGTTAACCTTAGTATAATTCATCCATTTCATCAAAAGTAATGTGAATGCCTGAATGAATTCTGCTTGTGGCTGCTGTATATACAAAAATCTCCAAATTTTCATAATAATATAAAAATTGTCTTTTGAAACTGTGACTCCTACTTATTGAAAAATGTTTATGTAGAATAAATTTTTTTTGCAGATTCTGGAATGGGTTGTTAAGATCGCTAATGACAGACTTCAAAGAAATATCATATATAGCAGCCCCATGAAGCACCGGTAGTGTCCATCTCACGTTTCAAATTATTATTTCCGCTCGCAAGTTTGTCACATAATTATTTTCCATTATGCGGTCGGTTATATGTTTAAAACTTTAAGTGGGTTGATTTGTGGTTGTTTGAAATGTAAGACGATAATAATATGAAGTTTCGAAAGATTTTTTTTAATTAAATGTTGCAATTGCTTCTTAAACAAAATTCAATATTTAAATCCTTTAAACAATTTGAGAATATGTTTAATAACTTTACTGCTAATACACGCTAACATAAATTTTAATGTGATTTATTCAGTAAGAAGCAACGAATGAAAGATATTCGTGGCATTAATGCACTGGGATGGCTTACTTATCAACAGAACTTATCTAAAAAATTATCTCATTTCCGTTTGTTCTCCAAAATTTGTTTTTACGCATTTATATGTCATCTTCATTATAATTATTTTCTTTAAGATATAGATGTAATGATGTTAAAATAAGATAGAAGCGGGGATAGCATCGTGCATCACCTGTGCCAAAAATTTCATTTGTAATTACAAGCATTATTATAAACAGCAGGTCTGCTGGCATGTACATTTGAAAATTTTAATTTCAATAATAATTTTTAACATTACTATTTAAAACGTAGTTTAAACATTTGTTCATTTATTTTCAGATGAAATTCCTAATTAAAAAGATTAAAAATCGTAATTTGAAGTTTAATTAAAAGAAAAAACGATGATGGCAACAATGGAGAAGTAAGAATAATAATTTGAATAAACGTCCAAAATTCGTAGCTGTAAGGAGAACTCGCACGACAACGACAGTGATGGGTAGGATGACGATCACAGCAGCTTTTAGATTGCCGAGCACATCAGTATTATGGATAACCTCGAGGAAACTGATGCTGTCAAATTTTTATTTCTTATTGATTATTGCACATATGAGTCGATCGTTTGCGGATGAATACGACTTCAGCAACCACAAATACAACTTCAACTCCAACGTTAAATGCCCCATCATAACAATATATGGTCTCAAAACTGCTGAATGCATGATGAAAAATTTCACGTTCGTGCCGCAGAACTTAGACACGGATATAAAAACGTTTAATCTGCACAAAAATCAAATTTCAGTCATTCGCGACTATTCGTTCAGAGACTACACATCCTTACAGAATCTTTACTTGAAAAATAATAGAATATTCAATATTTCTGATTACGCTTTTGTAGGCATGGATAATTTGCAGATTTTAGATTTAGAAAGTAATTTGCTTTCTTCCTTGCCCGGTCCAGCTTTTAAACATTTGAAATCATTGCGAATCCTAACCGTCAACAACAATCCTATAACGCACCTTGGAAAAAACGATTTCAAGTATCTATCCTCAATAGAGACTTTGAAATTTGAAAATTGTCAAATAAAAAATATTGAACCATCTTCATTTCGTCCAATGAATCGTCTGTATGAATTGAACTTGGCCAACAATCAGCTTCGTCATCTTCATTATCAAATCAAAAAATCTTTCAGCAGATTAACAGTTTTGCGGCTGTACAACAATCAGTGGAAATGTGATTGCCACTTACGCTGGCTAAGGATCAGTCTTCAATCTATCCCAAACTGGGATTTTGGATCAAATTCGCCAATCTGCGAATCTCCAAACAACTTACGAGGAGTCAGCTGGAAGAATGTTGCTCCTGACAAATTCGCTTGTTCAAGTACCATTCAAGTACCAAGCGGTGGCAAAATCAAAAAAGGAATTGAAATCAGTAATGATATTGATGGGGTTAGTAGTAGTGAAGACGACAAAAACAATGGAGACTACAACCAAGTTTTGTACGGAAACGCATTAAAAGATGAAAGTTATGACGGGGTCCTCAATAACAATAAAAACAACGATGTAAACTTGAAAGCAACAAGCGTGGAGGTGGTTCTGGGATCAAACGCCACGTTGAAATGTACAGCATGGGGCGATCCCGCTCCAATTGTCACCTGGGTTCGTGGAGGTCTTCTGGTGCCCCAACAGTTCATCACGCAAAGAGTTATACCCCAGCCCTATCCAAATATTGAAAATTATCGTTACTCAGATGACAAAGAGGATTTGGCTCGTTATCTTGAATTTGTTGAGTATCACAATCAGTTCATGAAAAATGAACAGCTAAATGAAAACTACAATAACGTTTTCGATGTTAATGAGGGAGAAATTGACGAATTGAATTCGGAAACTGGAAGCAGCGTGGAATCTGTTTTGCACGTGCTTTCGGCTAAAAAATCTGATGCCGGTAGCTACATGTGTTTAGCTGAAAATTTAGCTGGAAAATCAGAAGTCATGTATAACTTATTAGTTGTTGAAAACAAAGTTTATGAAAACATAAGCCTTAGCGAAAATTTACTAAAAAAATTTTCTAAATTGTTTTCAAATTTAGAGGTAATTCTTGGTATTATATTTGGGTGTCTTGTTGTCGTTGGTTGTTTAGTGGCTTGCTTCGCGTGTGTTGTAACGAGGAAGCAAAACAAAAACGCAAAACGCAAGAAAGCCAACCAGAAGCACCAGAAACTCCTGAACAGCGAAAACGTAAAATGCAAAAATTTTGTCGAAGGAGATGTTGACGATTGTAAATGCTGCAATAGAAACGTTGAACTTGTTGATGAATTTTGTTACGAAGAAAAACGTGATAAATTACAAGAAAAAGCCGTGAGATCACTGCATAAAAACAAACCGCGGCGTTCATTTTTCAAACCGACAAAAAAAGTAAATTCGTTTTCTACAAACAAATGTACACCAGATATATTGAGCAGTCGAAATTCTTTGCTGAGAAATGTTGATGCGGATAGAAGCGATGTTGCCATCAATATATTTAGCGGCAGCAGTAACATCCACCAACAACACCAACAAAATCACGAATTTCCGTTGAAAAATTTCACCAAACAACAGTACGCCAACACATCTATTCACAATCAAGTCTGTCAGAACCCCGTTTGTAACAAACCAATCCTAAAAAGTTCAAAAATAAACAAAACAGCGGCAATAACGTCTGCAACGTCATCAATATCTACCATTTCAAAACCAAACAACAAAACTAAAACTCCTTTGAAAACCATTCTTAAAACACCGAGCAGCAGTTTTGAAAAAAATCGCAACACGCCATCTGACAAACCGTTGCAAGCCAACGTAATTTATAACAAAAATAATCGACCTCCGGATATATATGCCACCATCCCTGCAAGAACTGGCGCACAAAATGTGAAAAATATTGGCATTCCGGATTATCATTCAACCATTCCTAACATACCAATCGAAAGCAGCCACAACATTATTTACAACAACACCACCAACGTCAACAACAATTTCAACCATAACAACAACAACATCAACAACAATATAAATAACAACATGATTAACGATAATCAAAACAGTTTCGATAAAAATTTCGGATCGCCGATCGTCAGTTTCAACAGAGACAGCGTGAAAATATACAGTAGCCACAATATCAACATCATCAACAGCCCCATATACAACACTACCCTTCCAAAAAACAACTCAATCAATGAAAACATCGTCAACGTCAACAACAACGCAGAAATAATCGCCATGAACTACAACGCTGTTGAAGAGTTTAAGAACACTTCGCCTGACTTTTCAACTCTGCAACAACATTGCAACAAACTCAACATTATCAGCAACGTTAGTCCTGTACAACAACTAAATTACAACACTG